TGTATTGTGTTTGTATATATATATATATATAAATGTGTGTGTGTGTATATTGTGTTTGTATATATATGTCTTGTGTTTGTATACATTATTTAAATACTTCCTCCTCTCTCTTACCATTGCTCTTTTACTATTGAACTTATGAATGTATTTTTTTCCAGGGCGGGGAACGAGTAGCCTGGGAGTTCCATAACGTACTTCTTTCACGGGTAGGTTGCGTTGTATCTAAAGTTTTTTTTCTTTTTGTTTGTTTGTTATTAAGTGGAGCTTATGTTTTTTTGGGTTTTTTTATGCTTAGTCATGAAACTTGTATGATTCTTTTTTTAATTCAGTTCATATTTTCTTGTAGCATCAGGGTTCCTGCTATGTTTAACTTCTCCATCTCGACTTGTATTTTTCTTTCTCATCAACATTGCCGCATTTATTACGTCGCACAACTAATATATAAATATATATATACACACTTGTGCATTTCACACCGCTAACATTTTCAGTTTAACGTTTTGTTCCAAGGTTCATGTTTTATTATTCATCTGAAATATATATATATGTATCACCTTCCTTATTTCGTCTCTTATATATATCAATGTCCTATTTTTTTAACATTTATTTCGTACTGTTTCGTTTCATAATAATTTCGTTTCTCTTCCTGCTTATCTGTTAAGCAACATGTTTCGCACACATGCAACAAAAACTGGGGTAAGGAATTGCGAATTATGCTTTTCTTTTAGAGAAGTAAATCAGCTACAATGCTAAGGTCGGAGGGTTCGATTTCCCTCGGTGGACACAGCAGATAGCCCGATGTAGCTTTGCTATAAGAAAAACGCACACACATACCTCAGAGTGTTATATGCTCAAGATATTTTACTGCTAAGTAATATTATCTTGTTTTTTATCTGGTAATAAAACAGTGCCAGGAGAATTGTCTAAGAAATTACCATTCCATGGAGTAGGCTTAGAGCATCATTTATTATTGTTTTATTATTTCCACCCATACGGTTGAGCAGGTGTAGCTGGCTAATACAGAAACTGTTTCAGATATGCGTTTATATTTTTTCAGTTATAGAAAAACTGACACAGTTTCATTGAACACTGTTCATCCTCGTGGGTAACTGACTTACCACATGTAGTTCCCGGTTCTGAAGTTTTCTTTTTATTCTTTCTTCGTTTATTTAGAACATATGGGTACCGAACATCCTGTCGTAAATAATGTATTTTGAGATATCAAAAAGAGGACATGATAGTGAGAAAATAAATTGGTAAATTGGAAATAAAGAAAATGCAATAATAGAATGAATAACGTCAGAGAGAAATATATAGGAAATAAAATAAGACAAAGAATGCAAAAAAATAGTTAAGAAAGATGATAGAAATTACAGTTTTAGAAACAGGTAAATGGGTATTAAAAACAGATTTGCAAAATATGTGCTTGATTGATGTGTATTTATGTAACACCAGTTTCTTCTTTGTACCGGCAGGTCCCCGGTTACGGGTTTGGCATCGCTATCAGTGGTGGCCGAGATAATCCCCACTTTGCGAATGGTGATCCTTCTATCGCCATTTCTGATGTTCTTCGAGCAGGTCCTGCAAAAGGCAAATTACTGTAAGTTTTCGTTGTTTCAACATTTAGATCCTTAATAGGATTAAACAAAAAATGGCTATTAGTAGAACGGCTGATTAACCTCCTTCCCCCCGACTATTAGCTTTTTATTTTTGCATATAAGTAAATATGGTGTATTTGTGTGTATTTTTTGGTTATGCATGTTTTCCACAGAAACTAAATTTCTGTTTTTTCTTAATAATGACCCTAACCTTTGATCTTTTAGCCACAAAACCAATAGTATTCTTCAGCATCTTCCAAAAAAAGTAACCTGTAAAGCTTGTTTTAAATTTTTGCTCTTCAGAACTCTAGTTATCGAAAAATGTCTACAGACGGACAGACACTGTCCTCGCTATACCCCCCCCCCCTAACTTTTTCCTTCGGGTAGTGGGAAGGAGGGAAGTAAAACTAAATCTTTCGTTTGTTGTAAACTGTATTGCATATGGTGGTTTATGATTAACTGAGAAACACATTCAATCAAAGAACAGATAATCTGAAGAGTCATATCTGGTGTTGAATAATATTATCGTAAGTTACATAATCCATTACCCAGTCACGTGACCTACATACTTGAATAATAATGTTCTCAGTAACGTGACCTATATACCTGAATAATAATGTTCTCAGTAACGTGACCTATATACCTGAATAATGTTCTCAGTAACATGATCTATATAGCTGAATAATGTTCTCAGTAACATGACCTATATACCTGAATAATGTTCTCAGTAACATGATCTATATAGCTGAATAATGTTCTCAGTAACGTGATATATATATTTGAATAATGTTCTCAGTCACGTGAGATATATATATATATATGAATAATGTTCTCAGTCACGTGACCTATATACCTGAATAATTCTAAATTAAAAAGTGAATGTAAATATGCTGATGATTAGAGTAGTAGTTTTTATCAATTAAGGAGTAAGTGTAATATAGTGATGATTAGAGTAGTAGTTTTTATCCATTAAGGAGTAAGTGTAATATACTGATGATTAGAGTAGTAGTTTTTATCCATTAAGGAGTAAGTGTAATATACTGATGATTAGAGTAGTAGTTTTTATCAATTAAGGAGTAAGTGTAATATGCTGATGATTAGAGTAGTAGTTTTTATCCATTAAGGAGTAAGTGTAATATACTGATGATTAGAGTAGTAGTTTTTATCCATTAAGGAGTAAGTGTAATATACTGATGATTAGAGTAGTAGTTTTTATCCATTAAGGAGTAAGTGTAATATAGTGACGATGAGAGTTACAGTTTTCCTCCAATAGTAATTGTTGATATAAGAAGGAAAACTTGAGTTTGTTTATGAAACTATGATTTTGTGTCCGATTGCAATATTTCCGTTTTATATTCCAAGCATCATCTTGATCTGGCAAAAGCATTTGAAGTAACCATAAAGGCATCATTTTTCTTGTACTATGAGTTGTTAAAGTATTATTTAAATAAAATGTATTTAAGGTTCTATTCTGGTTGAAAGCTGGAGATGATCAGTTATATCTCTTTTCAGAACAAACTATTTGAAATCTTTTAGGAAAAGAGAAAAGAACCATTATAGCTTTGATAAATCTTTCAGTGACTCCTTATACTGTTGTTGTTTTTTTATTCAAATAAGAAGTTTAATTTTTTAACTTATTTACTGCATTTTGACTTTGAACTAGGTATAATGTAGAATATTGCGGAAAAAAAAACTCGCACAAAATAATTATTTATTTAAATCTAGCCATCTGTGATGGCGCGAGAATTATTATCATTGCCAGATATCCATTAAAGTAATAAGAAAAATAATGGACGCATCTCTACAATGGTTTTCACAACAATGTACCAGCGTCCTTTCACTTGGTAATGTACTTATTGTTCAGCTCCCATACATCAGAAATCGTTTGACATTCTTATGATCAAATTTTGCCATACAAATAAGTTGAACTGCGTTGGCGAACCACCATGTCCTTGATAAAAAGAGCTCACGTGTTCTAGGTCATGGAAAATCTGTTTAGGCGCAGAAGCCGCACACATTTATAAAACAAGTTTCTCATAGAATCTCCGAGTACATAGAGTGAATAAAGCACATATACAACGTAGTTCTGTGAAACCTCTTTTGTAAAACTCACACGAAAGAATGGAAAATAAGTTTTACGATTGAATCTAAGCATATGTATAGCACTTTCGGTTTCTTCAGATTTTTGTTTTATTGATAAGAAATACTGTTTCTAAAACAAGATCATACCATGCACAAATGTGATTCTTATCATTATTATTTCATTCTTAGCACAAGTTTTCAATCTTTTTCATACCATTCTAACTCGAAAGATTGCTAAATAGTCTTTATATTTTTCTCCAAGTGTCCTAATGGTTTCCTAGGAACAGGCACGACCTATTAACAAAATGTGTGCCATCTAATTAATCTGTTATAATGTTCTGACAGGGTTAACGATCGAGTACTCAGCGCCAACTGCGTATCTTTAGAAAACGTGGATTATTCAACGGCAGTCCAGGTCCTCAGAGAGTGTGGCAACACCGTCAACTTGGTCAGTCCTCAGCTGTTTTTCTCTATTTTTTTAAATTCTCAACCTCACTTTTCTATTTCACTGTTATTTTTACTTCTTGAAGAACCTATGGTGGTGATTAAGTAAGACTTGTGTTTAAGCTACCAGTTTCTAAACGAGTTCGGTTCTCTTCAGGTAGCACGTCTCTACATGTTTAACTCTAGTTAAACCTTGTTCTGCAGTTTCTAATGTCTCTGCCTGCCATCATTTAAACAATTTTTTGCAGGCTCTGCAGTATCTAACCCATGCTTTTTTTTTTCGCAGTGAGAGAATAAACCACGTATTTTTGAAAGACTAATGTGTCTTTATTGCCTCTGCTTTTATTTGAATGTTCTGAAATAATAAGCTTAAAATATAGTAATTCAAATACTGATTGTGTAAAGACAGCGTATTTTAACAAGTTTTTCGCTTCATTATTTGTGTTTTTATAAGCCTTTAACAACAGAGCATCGTTCTTGTAAAAATTTGAGAGGGAGTAATGATTTTTATAAACTGATGTTTGTCCTTTAACTTAAGTACGTTCCTAATACTTTCCCTTTATCATTTATAATTATGACACATTCATTTGTCGTTTACCACTTGTACAAACAGTAAAATATATCTTACATGATAAGCAGTATATTCAAAGTTTGCCGTTAGTAGATTCATTATATTTTAACTTTTATCAATAGTACAGTTATTAAAACTGTTTTTAACACTTACGAATTTTTCGTACTGCATCGTTATTAGATTCGTTGAAGTGTGCACCTTACATTAGAAGTTTAATTAAAAAAAACGGTAACCAATTCATTTCGTTTATTATTTATAGGTTAATTCACGTTTTCCCTTAATACTGATAGGCTTATTTATTAAAGAATTTTCTGTTTCACAGTGATATATTTTGTTATTGGTTGTTGGTGAAGTTAGTACTTTGGCTAGAAGTAAATTCATTAATGTTTATCCTTATTATTAGTTTATTTATAAAGATTTAATCCGAAATTTCTATATATTTATTAGAAGTTTGTTCCTCCCACCTAATTAATAAAAACATTTAATTCAATTTTTATTATCAAAAGACATATTCATGTTTATGCATTATAATTGTTTCATATTTTAAACTTGTATTTCATTTTAAGAATATTTATCTTATTTTGTGTTTTTGTTTTCGTTTATTAGAACCAAAACATATACTTTTTCATTTGTAAATTAAGTAAAAGTTGTTAACAGATTGACTAAATTTGACGGAAAACAATTTAAACTGTTGTGTTTGTTTAAGGCCTACAACTCCAGTAAAAATGACCTTAATTTGTTCACTTTTCATTTCTACAACTTCTTCACGAGAGTTTTTCTGCTTTAACTGGTAAACTCACAATGAAAAACAAATTTAAGTTTGTTCCGTATGTAACAGCGGTTACTTGAGAGAACAAATTCCGCGTAAAAATGATATGTTTCACAGTGATTACTGTAAAGGAGAGAAACTAAAGAGCCGTGTCTTACTTAGTCAATACGAATAACACAGCACTACATATTGTTACGTCTCCGTTTGTTAATTAACTTTCCGTAACTTCGTTCCGACGAAATTTTAACGACACAAGTCTTT